GTCCCTGCCAGTGCCCCTCACACCCGACCTGCAGCCCCCTGCCCCTGCCAGCCCCGCTGGTACCCCTCACTCCCCAGCCCCAGCACCCGCTGCCCCTGCGGAGCTTGGCCACCCTGAGGCCCCAGCTGGGGCAGGATCTGGGGGCAACCAGCCTGCCCCCCCACCCCTCTGCCCCCCCTTGCAGAGGGCGGTGGAGGTGACGTGCTTCGTGCCCAAGCGCTGCAATGACATGATGAACGTCGGGCGCCTGCAGGGGTTCAGGGTACAGCTGCGGGGTACCAGGGCTGGGGGGTGGGGCTGCAGGGGGTCCTGGCCCTGGGGGTCCCTAACTCCCCACTCTTGTTCCCAGGTTGGGGGGTGGGCTGCCCTGGGGTCCTGCTGGGCCTGGGGGGCTTTGCGGGGCCTGGGGAGATGGGAGGGCATGTGGGGGTATGGCAGGACCTGGAGAGGTGGGAGGGGCTGGGGGCTGTTGGGGGGCCGTGTGGAGGCTGTGACCCCCCCGCCCCCATGCAGGGAAAGCTGACGGCGCAGGGGAAGCTGCTGCAGCAGGACACGTTCTGGGTGACTGAGGGCGACGGGGGGCTCCTGCCCCGTGGGCGCCGGCGCCGCGTCTTCCTCTTCGAGCAGGTCGTGATCCTGAGCGAGGCTGTGGACCGGCGCCGCGGCTTCACCCCCCCGGCCTACGTGCACAAGAGCAGCATCAAGGTGGGTCTGACCCCCGACCCCTGACCCCCGCCTTATGACCCTTGGGGCAATGTTGAGCTGGGCCCAGCCCTGACTTCTACCCCCCGCCCCCTATCTCCATGCACAAGAGCACCCAGGGTGCCTGCCCCCCAACCCTCAGCCCCATTTGTCTCTACTAGAGGACCACCGAGGTGGGCCTGACCTCTGCCCAAATCTCTGCCCCTACCCCCACCTCCACGCACAAGAGCACCCAGGGGTGCCCGACCCCCAGCCCCTCTTCTATCCACTAGAAGACCACCAAGGGGGCCTGACCCCTGACATCACCCCCCAGGGCTGGGGGCCGGGCTGGGTTATGGGGGGCGGGCTGGAGGTCCCAGGTCAGGTCTGATGGGGCTGTGTGCAGATGAGCTGCCTGGGTCTGGAGGCACCGGTGGACGGCGACGGGACGCGGCTGGCGCTGAGCTCGCGGGCGGCCGACGGGTCCCGCACCCACTACGTGCTGCAGGCGGCCACCCCCGAGGTTGCCAGTGCCTGGGCCCGCGACATCGCCCGTCTGCTGGACACACAGCGAGACTTCCTCAATGGTGCGGGCACACGTGTGCATCCGGGGTGGGGGGCACACGTGGGGGGAGGAGGAGGTTTGTTGTCTGGCGTGGCCCATCCAGCTGTATGGGAGGCGTGTAGCACGCCACACCGTATGGGGCACCGCTGTTTGTTGGCTGTCTGTAATGTGTCTGTAGCATGTTCCCACCTGCATGATGCCTACATGATGTGTGCATTGGGTCATGTGATGCTGGTTGGGTTTTCACACCCATGTGAATCATGCTGGCAGCGTGTGCTGTTCCCGTGGTCTGTGTCCCTGGCAGGTAATGTGCACCACGTCCCATGTGCTTGGCATGTGTCCTGGGTGCCCGGTGTTTAATGGGTCTCATGTGCCATGTCCTGTGTGCCTGGCATGTAACATGTATTGTGTGCCTGGTGTGTAACATGTGCTGTGTCCTGTGTGCTGTGTCTTGGGTGCCCAGTGTGTCCATCAGATAATGTGTGCTGTGTCCCGTGTACTTGGCATGTAATGTGGTCCATGTCCTATGTGCTGTCCCAGGTGCCCAGCACGTAACATGTGCTCTGTGACCTGTCCCGGGTGCTGTGTCCCATGTGCCGTGTGCCTGGCGTGTAACATGCACCATGTCCTGGGTGCCCAGGGTGTCCCACGTGCCTAACGTGTAACATGCGCTGTGCCCTGTGTGCCCAGTGTGTAACATGCGCCATGTCCTGTGCCCGCAGCGCTGCAGTCACCCATTGAGTACCAGCGCCGGGAGAGCCAGTCTCACAGCCTGGGCCGGGCAGGCACCCCCCGGGCCCCTCCCCGGCCCCGCTCCTCAGCCTCCATGGACCGGGCCCTGACCCTCGGCCTGGGCGAGCCCCGCGCCTCCCTGCCCGCCCTACACTTGCCCGGGGGCCAGCCCCGCCTCGGCCCGGCCCCCACATCTCTAAAATGGGGGGCGTGGCTGTGGAAGGAGGTGGGGGGAGCAGGGGCCTGGGGGGCATTGGATGCCTAATTCACCCCCTCTTTGCCCCCCTGCAGCCTCCCCGCAGCCACAGCTCCCCTGGCCCCACAGGGACCCCCACAGCCCACGACCATCTTGATGTGCAGCCCCCCGACAGCCCCCGGCCACAGCCCCCCCACAGCAAGGTGGGGGTGTGTGTTGGGGGTGGGGCTGGGCATGGAGGGGTAGGGGAGAGGTGGGGGGTCAGGAGCTGTGAGGAGGATCTGGAGGGCAGGGAGTGTGGGGGGATCTTGTGTAGGGCATGGCTGGGGGTGGTAGGGAGGGAGGGGCACCAGCAGGGTTGGGGGGGGCAGGGCGCTGAGAGTTGGGCGTGAGGGGCAGGGGCAGGGTGGTGGGGGGCAGAAGCTGTGGGTCGGGAGGGCACTGGGCTGTGAGGGGGCCTCCTGGGGGGGGGCTGG